AAATATACATGGCACTTCTTGTTTTTAGATTAAGTTACTCAATACATCTTATATATTTATGTCTGAACAAAGGAGCTATTGTTAGATTCAGTATTGTAAGACTAGTTCATTACTTTAGATAACTATTGTTGCTAATTTAATATCTAAACTGATTATTGATCAAATACTTAAATTTGAAGATTTCAGTTTTAAATACTGTTGGAGCTTGTGATTGCATTTTTTCTTAAAAAAACAAAACATAAAAACCTTACCTGAAACACATACACATATACACACAAATACAGAATTTAGAAACCATTGAAAGTTTGAAGTCTAGTAACTGTAAAACAAATCTCTGTTGGCTGTGCTACAGTTAAACTCAGGTTTTAAAATGAGAACTAATCGGGATTAGAACTAATCGGCAATAGTGCCAATAGGCCAAAGCTATTAGGTGAGTAGGCAGGAATTACTGGACATTTTAAGAAAAATTGAAGTTTTAACCATTATGATGCCACTAAATAGTAATGAACACAACAAAGAGGCTTTATTTTCTACCATACAACATATAGGAGGGGAGTAATGATATAGCCAGGAACAAGACTGCATTTCTTAATTCTACCAACATTAAAATGTTTTTGAAGATAAAAATCCATAACTAATCATACCTGAAAACCAAATCACTGTTATTACAGAATCTCAGTGTATAGTCAACAGATCTATAATTATGTAATAAAAACATTGTCAAAGAAAGATATATGGGATATTTACGCCAAAACTGTAAAGACACAAAATTGATCACTGAGAAATAGTGACCTTTCTCTTTTTGAATCTTCTGTACTCTTAGTTTCTGTGACACTATCCTTTCACAGTTTTGGTCCTTTCTTCATGATCGTTCCTTCTTGGTCTTCTTCTTGGATTCCTCTTCCTCTGCTTAATTCCAAACTGTTAATCTCCCACAGGGTACTTTCTTGGCCCAATATTCTTTTATCTGTAGCGATCTTCTTTGGCAATTTCAGCCACATTTGGGGTTATAAGTATAACGTTGTAACTCTCAGATTTATGTTCCTGGTTCTAACACTAGCTTCAGAAGTGTTTTTTTAAATATGTTCTAGACGTTTCCACTTAGAAATTTCCACAGACATCACAAATTCAAAATGTCCTAAATCAAAGACTCATCCCTCATCCTCTTCCCCCAACCTACTTCTTCTCTTTTACTTCCAATGTCCATTAATGGCACTACCATCCACCTAGTGATGCAAGTCAGAAATATGGGATTCATCTTAGAATCTTCTCTCCTTTACCTCCTCATAGCCAACCAGTCACTAAGTCAGGTGACTGACTGCTAGTATTGCTCTTTAAAAATTTCCTGAATCTATTACTCCATCTCTGTCTCTATTACAACTAACTTAGTTCAGGATCTTATCTGTCTGAATTATTGTGTAGTCTGCTAGTTCATCCTAAAATGCTCTTTCCCTGACGTGGACTTAAGTTTACTTCTTTATTGTAGTCCCACTAGAATACAAGTCCCAAGAAGAAAAGAATCTCTGTCTTCTCATGTTTTCTTTAGGATAGGTCCTGGCATATGGTAGATGCTCAAAAAATATTTGTCACATAAACAAGTGGCATCCCGAATGGCCTAAAAACTATGAATATGTAGTTTGTAAGCAAATATGACCATATCGATCCTTTACTGAAAACCTTCTGAAACTTCCTATCACCTGTAAATATGATCTACAGGACTTTCCTTGACCTGATCCCTACTTACCTGTCAGCCTCTCAATCTCTAGCCATGCAGTCCAGTATTTTATGTTGAAAGTATGTAATTGCTTATCATTCATGTGCATATTATGCCTCTATACCTTGTTCATTATGGTCTCTATCTGGAATACCTTTCTAATTGACTTTTACCTAATTAGCAGTCACCCTAGTCATTGAGATGATACCTCAAATGAAGTGTCATCTCAAATAAGGCATCATCTTCAGGAATTCACTCCTGGAATTCCAGGTTGGGTCAAGTAACCTTCTTCTGAGCATCTGGTATACCTTCTGTGTAATCCTAGTTTAACCACTGGCATATGGCCTTGAAGCAATCTGTTTAAGCATCTGTCTCGTACTAGATTGTAAGCAACTTGCGTAATAAATGATTTCTTACTCATCTTTGTTATCTATGTGTCTGGCACATAGCAAGTACTCAATATTTATCGAAAAACACCTGAATGAATGGAATTAATTATTTAGTTTAACATCACATGTTGTCTAACTTGCAGTCTTATTAATGTCCATTTTCAGTTCCTAATTTCTAAAAAGTTAATAGACTTTATTTTTAGAGTAATTTTAGATTTATAGATGTTTGTAAGTTTTAAGGAGAAAAATGTAATAAATAAAATTCTGTTAGAGAAGTATAAAAAAATCCTCAATTTCAAAAAGCTAATATCTATCGTATTAGCAAAACATAGTTAATTATGTATAAATATTAGCAATTTTCAAAATCATTTAAATGTGATCTATATGCTCATTGTCCATAAATTAAACTTCTATTTCTACATTATAATACAAAATAACATTTTAAAACACCAAATGAAAAATTCCTATAACAAAAATCAAATTAAATATAGTTGAGTTACAATAAGAATATAAGGAATATCATCAAATAACTATTTCAATATAATATTTTTACATAAGGTTCAATTTCCAGAATCACTTTTATGGTTTGTAAAATCAAAAGTTGCCGGGTCCAAGACTTAATGTAACCTTAATTTCTTTTGTGCTATAGATTTATGTCCTGACTTCCGTGTACAAGAACCCTAGTATTCAAACATAAATTAGACTTAATCTAGTTGCCTATAATTTATTTTGCTATAAAAGAAACACCATATTACATGCCTTTGTTTGTTAAGTAGAAGATATGCTATTATTTCCAAGATACCAAGGATTTAATGTTTAATTATCAACACCCGTTTGAAAAAAGACATTGCTTTGACTCACAAATTTCTTAATTGCTAACAGTGGCTTTTCTGAGTAGGAGTGTTGTATCTAATTTATTTTTGCAGATGGGAATTAGAAACTGAATTTTAAAGTAGCAAAGCTTTGAATATCTTCACTGTCAGCAGGAAATTCCTCCATCCCTGCTGCTGGAGAATATTGCTGCTTAAAGTTTTAACAGGAAAATAAAAACTTCAGTGAGAAAATTGATACTGCTGGTAAATGTTGCTTACAAACTGAAAAGGAAGTTAGATTGTCAGCAATACAAGAACTATATTATTCACACAAAATATGAGGTGTTATCTTCGTGGCAACTTGCTGGGAACGAAATTAATTTGGCTGGTTCCAACTTGAGGAACCTAAAGAAAAGCAAATATTCCACCTATCATAGTACCTTTACAAAGGATCAGCAGTTGGTAATCAGGGGTACCAAGTTTAACTCCTCCCTGAGGAGGAAAGAGATTATATACATTTCAGAAACGGTGGCCAAGGTTCACTGTGAAGCAGGCTCATTGATCACTGAAAAAAAAGTCATTGTTATGTTTTCAGAAAGGTTAACTAGTTTCAAATTCCCCTTTCCCTCTGGAACATGTCATCATCTACACATTACTGCAATAAAGTGAGTAAGAGAAAAGAATATAATATTGTAATGACAACTCAAATATGAAGTCAAATGTAACACAGAAATTCCTACCCGTCTGGCTGAGCTGAGAAGCGCTGCGACTTTTCCGTGAGAGACCCACAATAGCTACCATTTTGGCCCCAATGCTAGAACGCCGCTTTTTGCCGCTGGTGCCCAAGGCACCCACTGCCGTGTCAGACTGGCTGCCGTCGTTCTTCTCCAGCGAGCACATGTCTCCACTGATGCTGGTGCTTTTGGTCATGTTCTTCCCTGACACGCCCACTTGTCTGCTTTGCATTTTGGATGTAAAGACACTGCCAGCCGATGGATCATTAAAAGTGAGGACAAGGGTAAAAAGGAAAAGACAGAAAAGGCATTTTAGATGAAACATGTGGAGTATAACTAAATTATATCATCTATGGAACATAATTTTAGGATAAAAATTTTCAAATACCGTGAATGTGCTTACTATTCAGGGCCAACCTTAATGTAATTCTGCAAAATCAGACTTACGATTTTATTTCTGCTATCAAAGAAGGCACCAGTTTGTGTGGTGACAGGAAAAAAATGCATAAAAAAATCAGTGGATTCATTTAAGAGAATATGTTGTCCTGCAAGTGCAAATATGCTTTTAGGTAGCTATACAACATAAAGGAGAAGTTTCCAAAAGATTCCTCTTTAATTTACTTTACTGTTGTCTTCAGAAAGAAATTTGACAAGTGGGGAAATTTTATAAAAAATGGCAAAAAAAAAAAAATTGTATCCATTGCTAAGGGTGGTCCTTTAAAGTAAATTTTCTCATTTTGTAAAAAACTTAATAAAGTTTACCCGAGAAAGGTTAAATTTTCTAACAGGGCTTGATATTTTCATTAGCTTTGAATTAAAAAATTTATTTTACTTTACTTAGTTTCATAAGTCTGTATTTCAAAAAAAAGAAAAAAGAGTTCCCTCTTACACGCATTTGAAAGAAAGAAAAATCATTATCAGTTTTCTAGACAACATGATCAGAAAGCAATCAGTGATTCACTGAAGCATATGTGCTGATTGCCGATTTACTGCAAGACTAATGCTGCAAATGGGCGTAATTAAAGAAAGGACGCTGGATTTTTCCACTATTACTGGGTTGTGGTAGGAGGTAGAGTAGCGGGTGAAGAATCTGGAAGCAGGCTATCCAGCTTGCCCCCATAAACCTGGGAGGATGTGAAGGAAACAGCCTGTTTTGGAGAATTGGGAAAACTTATTTACATGCCATCAATTTTTGACTCAGTATTAGAAAGTCATAGCTTCTGCTTTATTTGGTTCCAATAATGTGTTTAACACATAAACAAAGTAATAAAAAATAATAAAAATCAAGAAACAGAAATATCTTTAAACATCATTTAAAGGATGAGAATTATTATAGAAAACTGACCTATTGAGTTAAACTCTTATGTCTAATTCAGTATTTTGGTCTTTCTGAAAAAAATTTTTCTAACCTACAGTACAATCTGCTTACAGGCTAGGACCACATGTTAATTTTATTAATGTATGTACATTTTTCCAAGTATTTAAGAGAAAAAAGGCCTAATGTGAAATTTTTAAAAAATACAGTGAAGTGTACTATTTTATCCCTCACATTAGTATTAAGAAGAAATGAGGCATACATAGAGACAGAGTGTATGTCTGACAGAGAGAGAGAGAGAGAGAGAAAGAGAGAGATCAGAGTATGTTTCTATAATACCCTTAACTGATAATTTTCAAGCTTGTTTGATTTTAATGTTCTTTAATAAGCAACAATAGAATATAACAAAGAGAGTTTTAGAGGCAAAGAGACACAGGCTTGAATCCCAGCTTTGTTGTTACTTAACTTTGGAGGAAATATTTGCTCTATTTTGAGCCTTAGGTTCCTCATTTATAAAACCAGAATACTTTATTTTCCCTTTTTTTTCTAAAGGCTAGAGATAATGTTCCTAAAGTAAAAATCTAATAAGTAGAAATTATAACAATTACTATTAGGGGACATAGGCAATAGATAAAGTTAAAGCCCTTGAACATGTATTATAAAAATACTTAACAGCATCAACAGAAATGATATTTGGAATTATAAATTAAAAAGCATTCAAGATGAAAATATCAAAATAGTTTTAATATAGCCAGCATTACATAATGGAGTGTAGACTGAACTGAGAGTCAGGTCATCTGCATTTCATATTTGGCTTTATTGACTATTCATGTAATTTTGGGAGAGCTGTTTTACCTTTTTGGAACTTAGTTTTCTCATTTAATAAGTGAGAAAACGTAAGTAAAGCACTAAGCAGAATGCCAAAGACATAAAAAGAGCTCCAACGATTTTCTTCTTCCTTCTCATTGTTACCACTACCACCACCATCATCCATTAAGCATCCATTAAACATAGTGAACTGGAATATCTTAAGGTCCTGAACTATGAAATGCTTTGCTCCCCATATCTCTTGTTCCATGGATTCTGGGTAAATAAACACAGAGATGTAGCGTATGATTTTCATAGTATGCTGCCATCAGAAAAGGCATGTTCTACCTTAAAAGTTTAGGTGAGACTAAAGCTTTGAAAATAATAATGTAAGTTTCCTACTCAGAGTAACCTAGTGCTTCTTTTATACAGGAATTTTCACCCAAAACATATACTTTTCTAAAGAACCACCTAATCTACTACCTACCAAGGAAGTCAAAGATATACTCACAAAATTGTACCTTGTGATTTTTGCATTGTAATTTTCATGAGTTAAATATCAAGGCCATAAAGAACATAACCTGAATCACATAAGATACCATGATAAAATACTAACTGGAAATGATATGCAGACAAATATTTTAATGAGAATTTGATTTAAATTCTCAACCTAATGACTTTAATAATGCATTATTTACAAAAGGGGTTATTAAAAGTTTTGTAAAATGGATCTACTTTTCATCTCCTTGCAACTTAGAGATCACAGGGGTGAGTTTATGAATAGTTGCACTCAAGTGCTGTATTTTAAGGTGAGGGAGACTAAGGGTGGGGTATCACTACTGGTTTCCTTTTCTGGGTTTTTCTTTAGAGTTTTTTTTTTTAGAGACAAGGTCTTGCTCTGTTACCAAGCCTGGAGTGCAGTGGTCCTATCATAGCTTACTGCATGCAGCCTTGAACTCCTGGGCTCAAGAGATCCTCCCACCTCAGCCTCCCGAGTAGATGGAACTACAGGTGCATGCCACCATGCCTGGATATTTTTTTTGTTTTTTTTTGAGAGACGAAGTCATGTTATGTTGCCTAGGCTGGTCTCAAACTCCTGGCCTCAAGCGATCCTCCTACCTCTGCCTCCCAAAGTGCTGGGATTACAGGCATAAGCCACTGCACCTGGCCCCTTTTCTTTCTTCACTGGACATCATCTAAAACTATAATACAAGCAAAAAGTGTTGCAAGCAAACAAGCTACCAACCAAAATTTTTAAAGTTTTGTGACTCTTGATTTATGGACTACTCTGTAGTAAAGAATTTATAAACATAGGTAATATTATGGAATGATTAATGTGGTTAGGAAAATACTGATCCATTATATTAGCAATTACTTTAAAAGAAAAAACTGGTAAAGGTCTAGTAATACGGCAAATTTCAGTACTGCTGGTGGGGGTCTCAGCGATAGGTTTCTGAAGAGGTATTTGGCAATATATATCAAAAGCTTTTAAAAACAACAAGCCTAATCTTTAACTAGAAATTATACTTTTACAATTTATCATAAGGGAAAACTTAGTTATGTGTACAGATTTAACTATAATACTTATTGCAAAATTGATAATAATAGCAAAAAATAAAACAAAGCAAAAACAAAAAATAAAAATAAGGGGAAAACCCATAAATGGTCCAACAATAGTTGGTATTTAAATAAATTATATTCATCAATAAAATAGAATTTACTTTTGAAAATGCTATTATCTATAAATATTTATCGATACAGATATTCATGATGGGGGGAGTAGATATTCATAACTTAGCCCCGGGAGACATACATACCAAATATGCTTTTACTCTACCACTAATTCTCAGAACCAGAGGTGTAGCACAGAAAAGGACAGAAAATGCCCCTGTTTTCATGGAACTTTCATTCATACTGTCATGGGGAAAGACAATAAGTAAATAAATGAGAATTTCAGATAGTGATATGTGATCTGAAGAAAAAAAGAATAGAATGATAACAAGGGACTGAAAAGTTTGGAGACAACATTTAAATAAAGTCAAGGAAGGTCTCTCTGAAGAGGAGACAGTTGAGCTGAGTCCCGAATGATAAAGCCAGTCACATGGAGGAGGAATGCTCTCAGCATAGAGGAAGGCAAGTGCAAATACCCTGAGGCAGGAACAAGCATGGTCATTAGAGGAAATTTACAGAACTAAATATAAGTGGAATGAAGTGAAGGTGAGCATTCTAGACAGGATAAGGCCTGGATGTGCTGGGACAAATGTATGGCCTACACAACTTTCTCATTTAACTGCCTATTCCGATATTGCATTAGAGCTGTCCTAAAACTGTGAGTACACAGACTGCATGGGTTGTTGTACCAAGAGAACTGGAATCCAATCCAGCATGTATTTCCAAATGTAACATCAAAGGGCATTTCAGAGAGATCATGGCTATCTTCCTTAAAACGTAATAAATTTATGAAGGCTAAATCATTAAGGGAATTAGGAATATTCCTCTATTAATTGAACATTCAAAAATTTATTTAAACTCTTAAGTCTGTCTATATATTAATTCTTTACTATCTCTTGAATTTATATGTTCTCCACCAAATTATTGAATAATAGACCTCCCCCTCCACCATGAGTTTGCAGGAAGTTACTTTAAAGAAAATCTTTAAACTTACTACTTTATATTTCATAACTATGTATTTCTTTCTCTGTTTCTTACATAGTTCCTAATGGTTTATTTTGTCCATTCTCATGTGATAATTTTTCAATGTCTTTTATTATGTTAGTGTATTTCCCTAGACTCTTTCTCACTGTGTTTTTTTTCCTTAAAAAAATTAAACAGGCCGGGTATGGTGGCTCACACCTGTAATCCCAGCACTTTAGTAGGCCAGGTGGGAGAACTGCTTGAGGCCAGGAGTTCAAGACCAGCTTGGGCAACACAGCATGACCCCCACCTCTACAAAAAAATAAAAAAACAAAAACACCCTGGCATGGGGGTGTATTCTACTTTTAAAAAATGAATTCCTCTCAAATTTGCACAGCTCTTTCTCTCTTTCTTCTTAATCCAGCTTTACCTATTGTTCCCACCATTTTCATAGGTATATGACATTTAAGCAATGATATCTTCTATCCCTTC